TAGGTACATGGAAATTTCCTGTACAAACCTGTCTAAAAATTTTCGAAAACCGGCTTCTAGGAGTGTATCTCTCGGTCTGTCTGCAATTACCCCACATGGGGTAATTTTTTAAAAATAAAAGTTTTTTACAGATAAAACTTTTTTTAAAATTACTGTGTTATTTAAAGCTTAGCGTGATTAGAGGCCAGAGATAGGAGATTCTTACCGACCGTAGAGAAAGGTCTCCGCTATCCACCTGTGCAAGAACGACTGATTAATCTCCTTACCGTAATGAAGAAAGTTAATTATACTAATGAGTGCTGTTCTCGTGTAAAATACATAGAGCCCCATAGAGTACTAGAGATGTATGCAATTACCCCATGTGAGGTAATTGCAGACACTGGCTCGGGGTAATTGCAGACAGACCGAGAGATACACTCCTAGAAGCCGGTTTTCGAAAATTTTTAGACAGGTTTCTACAGGAAATTTCGATCTACCTACCTGCAAAAAAACAACTAAAATTAAAAAAAATAACAAAGTTATGTTGATTACAAGAGAAAAGATCGCAAAACTGTCTACAATTGCCCCATACTACTCTATACATTTATATAGAAATTATAATAAAATGGAATGCAGTATAACAGCAGAATACAGGAATAGTCGCCGAATAGAGGAACACAATTATAGAAGAATAAAGGAATAGTGACCGATCTCCACATATTTTGAATCATAAGCAAAGAAAACAAAATCCTTTTGAATATAATCCAATGAGATCTCATCTCAAATATTGATTTGTATAAATTACTTTTAGGTTATTTTGATATTTTTGGTGCTAGTCATCAAATATGGCATTGCTGTACATTTGCTGCATTCTACTATTGGTATGCAAGCGGACGTGAACTTTTAGAATATTATCTCATACATCCATGTTCTGTGAAAAATATCACAAATCCTAGTATGATTATACAGTAGTAATTTATGATGAATGAATTACATGGTCATTGTACTGTCGCTATCTTGAGCATATTTTGATAATAAAAACCGCTTCTCATATCGAGTCGAAATGGATTTGGCTGGAGCTTTTTTGCAGACGAGTTGAAGAAAAATCTTTTTTGCAAGTTACTTATAAGCATAAGGGCATGACTAATTCGAAAATATCTCTGCTCAGGTCTTTTCCGTTACCAAGATAGACGGCATTATCCGTAAAATAACTACCTTTTTTGCCGGCTACTTATAATCATATCTTTATGAATAAAATAACCATAAGTAGCTCGAGTACAGTATAGAGACATGTGGCCAGGTGCGAGCTTACTTTTCATTGGTAGAAATCGTGAAAAAATCACAAGTCCGACATGGTTAAAAATGGAAAAAGTCCAAAATTTCGAAGATTTGCGCGCTCTCCCCGCCCATGGAAGACGTTTTTATAAAATTACAACTGCCAGAGAATTTAACTACAAAGCTACAGTTGCCTAAGTAATCCATTTCACCAAAAAATCTTGCCTTTGAAGCGATAAATAAGAGCCAGTTTTTAGGAAATAATGCCTCTTACCTCGGTAACGGAAAAGACCTGAGCAGAGATATTTTCGAATTAGTCATGCCCTTATGCTTATCGGTAACTTGCAAAAAAGATTTTTGTTCAACTCGTCTGCAAAAGAACTCCAGCCAAATCTATTTCGACTCCATATGTCTAAAGAAATTAAAATTTTTTTGTTTTGTTTTACATTTCTGCTCTAGGATATTCACTTCGGAAAAAGCCAAAATTTTTATCTCATGTAATCCTCATTTATAGGGCTAAAAATATAAAAAGTGTTTTCAAAGATATATTTTCTAAAGTAATTTGCTTTTTTCTCAAAACTGTTTGAATATTTTCATCCACTGTTTCAGGATAATTTGTAGAGGAAGATTAAGGCGTTTGAAAGAAGCGTCATTTTCCAAAACGATCAATTATTACAGAAAATGTTCGATGACATTTTAAAATTAGTTTTACGTACATTTCGAGGATTATTAATCGGCTTTCACGGAGTGTTTATCATGTTGCACGGATAGCACCATAAGATTGAATTAGTCGAAATCATGATTTTTCTATGGATAAGCGACTCATATGTATAGAATTAAATGAGAAACTATATCATTTGATTCAGCTCCTTGAGCTTTACCAAACTCTGCATAGTGCAGCTTTTTTAATATTGATCTTGATGCGATTTTTTGACAAAACGGTTTGTGAATTTTCGATCTTTTCTCAGGGAAACTTTCGTTTTGGCTTGGTCAAACATGAAAAAAATTTAATGTGATAGACGTCGAAAAATAGGGAGCAAAACATATGACTCGAACTGTATTTTTTCAAACCTTTTAAATCGTACAATAACTGTGCAATTCGCTCGAATAAGGTGATAATTACACTGATAAATATTCAATGATAAAAGAATTACAACCGCTTAAATGATTGTGATAATAATTTACAGTGTTTAACTTTTCTATTTTTCATCTTTATTGTTAATTTTTTAAGTTCTTATACTTTCTCACAAGTTTGTTTTTTAATTTTTTTATATTTGATTAAGATGAATTATTTGACCAATTACAAATAAGTGTGACAGAACAATGTTTTATCTATTTTAACATCAAAATAATGTATGAACTAACAAGAAGAAAAATGTAATAACTCCTTATTGAGTATGAGTTGACAAACTTCCTCATCATTTGCGATCATTGGATGAACGTGGGATTATTTACGTTTATATATTCTCTATCCTCTAAAATGTTGGCTGATATATGAGAGTTGAACATTTGATAAAATTTTTGACTCCACTAATATCCCAAACGAGTATGAAATAAGTGTCCTATGACTTAATTAATGGTTAAAATTGATTATATATTGAAGTTTGACCTAATGAAACACTCACGTTTATTGTTAAAGGACTATTGGATTAAAAAGTATAAAATGAGAGAGATAAAAATAAATGATGCAATAACAGAACAGAAAGATGTATTTTTATGACATTTTTTATTTTTCTTTGATGAAAAAACAGTAACCATATTAGGTAAGGATCTGTAAAGATCAAGTCACTATGACACTTTTTTTATGCGGTTTATTGATATTGTTTTCTATTTCGCAATTTTAATATGATATGATTCATTCTATCTCGAAAGTAGTTAAATGTCATTGCTTTACAATAAAAAATAGAACTACTATATGTTTTTCTGACGCAATATTCAACTTTGAGAGAAAGAGAAAGAGAGAGAGTGAGAGAGATGAAGAACCGAGTAAAGTTTAGAAAAAAATTGATGGACATGTGATGAATAAATAAGACTTGCGATTTTTGCGATAATAACAAAAACTTTCCTTAGTTTAAATGTTTTTTTGATTTAGTTCGTTGAATAATGTCACTAGTTTAATTGTTAATCCTGTTTGTGTAGAAGGCGAGAGTTATTTCAGAGTTCAGCTTTTTCAGATCAGTAATGAAGCGATCAAATTCTTACACTATGAATCAAATTTCCAATGGGACATCGTCTCAGACACCTCCTAAGTAAGTTTAACAGAAAATGTTGGTTGATTCAAAATCATCTCATTTGACCGTTTTTCTTCGTGTTTCTTTTTAGATCAGAAGAGAAGATACTAAAGGGATTATTTAAGAAACCGAAGGATGAAGATGACAATGAAAAATTGTCACCGAATGAGAAAAAACAGGCACCAACCGTCAGTTTTCTAAGTTTGGTAGGTGATTTGATTTTTTGTCTGTAACCGATAGAAAAGAGCAGATTGTTTTGGACAAGAATTTAAAAGAGAACGATTTTCGATGAACGGTTCGCATTTTTCCGAGAACGGATATTTTTTTTAGCTGAAAAGAGAACGGATGAAGGCAAGGTACTGAAGAGTCCGAAATGAATTTCAAAAGTTAGAAGTTGATCGAGATCGACAAAAAGTTAAAATAGTTATAAACCGGCGTGAGATTTATAAATCAATTTATAAACTGGTTTCGGATTTATGAATTAGTTCCAAGTTTATAAACTGGACTCCGATTTATAAATTGCGTCTAGATTTATAACTATTTTAAATTTTCGATCAGAAGTTAAAATAGTTATAAATCACTATTTATAAATCGGTTTATAACTCCACCTATTTCGGACTCTTCAATAACGCAAGGAGAACGGATAATATTGTGTTGGACAATGGTTTTTTGAATTTTTTTGACGAAATTAAAAATAAAGCATGTAGTATAAACGACGATAGCTAGAGAGGAGTTAGATCTAAACTTACATCACGTGATGAATAATATGACTGTAGAACATACTCACAATGAATTTCATCATTTTTCAACAAAACACAAGTATAAATACGCTGTCAACACGAGCAATTCTAAAATTCAACAGAGTCTAAAATTATACCCAAACGCGACTGGAAAGTAGTCGATAGAAATCATACAAATTCAAAAACCATTTTCCAAACAATGTTATCCGTTCTCTTTTCAGCTATAAAAAATATCCGTTTTCTAAACAATGCGAACCGTTCTCCGATAAGTAGAAAACCGTTCTCTTTTAAATTTATTTCCAATTGCTGTTGCTATCGATAATTTTATTATTTCAGTTTCGCTATGCAACAAGGATTGATGTATTTTATTACATATTAGCTACAATTGCAGGTATTTCTTAGACTAGATTATTCTAGAAAATATTATTGCAAAGTGTATCTGAATTGTTAACAATCTTTCTAATATTCAGGTTTAGCAAGTGGAGCTGCATTTCCCTTATTATTGTTAATTTTTGGCAATCTAACAGATACGTTCACAAATCCAAACTATAATTTTGGCAATCTAACAGATACCCTTGGAATGGGGGGAGAAACTGATATATGTAAATTAAATCAAACGATTTTTAATTATTGGACAACCAAATTTTGTGTGGGTACGGGTATTAATTTAACTGCATCGAATTTTCTCTCAGAATACTCGTACGTATATTTCTAATTTTAATCGATAGATCACACATTTGAATTGTTTGTATTTTAGAAAATGTGATTTCCCTGGCGTTGGCTCTGATTTTACAGATAAAATTCGTGAACAATCGTTGTATTTAGTTAGTAAGTTGTTGACTATTTGAAACATGTACTAAATGTTTTAAAATCTGTATCTATTTTTTTTTTCTACTACTAGTAATCGGAGCTGCATCGATTGTCGTCGTCTATTTTCAAGTAGCTTTCTTTTCTATTGCGGGTGAGAGACAGACGCGTCGAATTCGAGAAGAACTGTTTCGTTCTGTCTTAAATAAACAAATTGCCTATTTTGATATGCATAAAACTGGAGAGCTCAATACACGTTTATCAGAGTATGTAAAGAGATGTTTTTTCCCTCTTCAGTTTTTATTTTAATTTGATTTTATATTTCTTTAAGCGATATTAATAAAATTCATGACGGAATAAGTGACAAACTTGGATCAGCACTTCAGTTTACATCTGCTTTCATCACTGGAGTTATATTAGCCTTTATCAAGGGTTGGAAATTAACATTAGTCGTGTTATCCGTTTCACCAATTCTTTTCGTATCAGCTGTCATATTTACAAAAGTTAGTTTAACACAGAGATTAGTCCATACGACATATAGCTCGTTCTAACTTTCTTTCAAGTTAACTGCAACAATGACGTCGAAAGAGCTTAAATCGTACGCCAAAGCCGGCAGCGTGGCAGAAGAAGTTTTCAGTTCTATAAGAACTGTATTCTCTTACAATGGAACTCGAAAAGAGCAGATTAGGTACGAATAAATTTGGCCCTATTTTAATATTTCAATGGTTTTGGATTATTAGATATGAAAAACATTTGAGTGCGGCCAGGATGAATGGAATACGAAAAGGAGCAGTAAATGGACTCCTTATGGGCTTCATTTGGTTCATAGTGTTTTTGACTTGTATGTTCACCTGTTTTTTTTTGATACATCAACATGTCTAAATTGTTTATGTTCTGTGTTTTCCCTAAAGATGCTCTTGGGTTTTGGTATGGTGCTAAATTGGTACGTGAGGAAAAGTTTACTATTGGTTCTATCCTAATCGTATTTTTTAGTATTAGTAAGTATAAACTAAAATCAGATGATGGATCTGCATGATTTTTCTTATATTTCTCTCTTTTTAGTCACAGCAGTATTTAGTCTGGGACAAGCGGCACCACACTTTCAATCTCACGGTAAAAGTCGTACATTTTGTTGAAATTTAACAAATGTTTAAACTTTTATTTCTTATATTCATAGCACAAGCAAGAGGGGCAGCATTTACGGTTTGGGAAATTATTGATACACCATCAGCAATTTCGAGTAACTCCGAAGAAGGCTTTAAAGGAACAGATTTAGTTGGTGACGTATTATTTGATAATGTTGACTTTACGTATCCATCAAGAGCTGATGTACCAGTTCTCAATAAATTATCATTCAGTGCACAACGTGGTCAAACAATTGCGCTAGTAGGCAGTTCCGGTTGTGGAAAAAGTACATGTATTCAACTATTACAACGATTCTACGATCCAATCGCTGGTTCAGTACAAATTGATGGTCGTCCGGTCAACGAATATAATTTACGTTGGCTCAGGCAACATATCGGCGTTGTTAGTCAAGAGCCAATTTTATTTGCAACAACAATCAGTGAAAATATCAAATACGGTAGAGATAGCGCAACAGAAAAAGAAATTATGGAGGCCGCAAAAAAAGCAAATGCCCATGATTTTATTATGTTATTGCCTAATGTAAGAAACAATTATCAAGTTGTTATCTATACATCGTAAAACCGTAGTCTTACTTCTTTAGCGATACGAGACACTTTGTGGAGAAAAAGGGGCACAACTCTCTGGAGGACAAAAACAGCGAATTGCTATAGGTATCTCGAAATGAAAGAAGAGTATATGTATAATTTAAAAGTTTTCTTTTTGGATATTAATAGCCCGAGCATTGATCCGAGATCCGAAAATTCTGTTATTGGACGAAGCTACTTCAGCTCTTGTGAGTAAACTACTTATAAACTCTTGATCATATGATATCTAAGATAATTACTTCTGTTTTTTATTAAAGGATAATGAAAGTGAAACAATTGTTCAAGATGCATTGGATCGTGCATCGAGTGGTACATAGTTAATTTAAAATTTATAATACTAATAACATTAAACTCTATTGTTTAGGTAGAACAACAATTGTCGTTGCTCATAGGCTTTCAACTATTCGAAATGCAGATAAGATAATCGTAATCTCTGAAGGTCAAGTCGTTGAAGAAGGTGATCATGCAACATTAATGAAAAGTCAATCAACTTATTATGCTCTTGTCGAAGCACAAAATCTGCGTTCAAAAACAGCTGATGATGATCAAGATGATGATGATTTACTTGAAAGAAGTGAGAATAAACGCGTTTCTTATTCACAGATAAACTATCACTTTACAACATATTTTCCGCACTTGTAGGAGATACCGTTCATTCCAATCGTGCTCTATCAATTACCGATTCGAAATTTGCAACTGTATCAATTATGGATGATAAAAAAATTGACGATTCTTTGGATAAGAAACAAGCTGTATGTATCTCGTTTCGATTGCGTAAAATTAATTCTTACAGAAATGTACTGGTTTCTAGCCATTTAGTGATTGAAAAACAGCAATGAAATACATAACGTATTAGTCAGGTAGAATTGTAAATAAATGCGGTTAGTGTACCGATAAAACATTTCTTTCTTAACTAATCAGATTGTTCTTTCACCACGAAACGCCTAATAATCTAATACGGCAGACAATGAAAGATATATATTTTACACCGTTTCTTTCAAGGTCAGCATTTCACTATTATATAACGATGATACTAATTCTAAATCGGTTGGTAGTTATGTTGTTTTCACTGTTTGTCCCTGCACACAATTTTATAATTTTCACCAAATAATGTAATAAAATGTTTTTCTTAAATTCAATGTAACTAGCTCTTATTGACTCATATGTTGAATGTGTTTATATAGCTTTAGCTTATTTTTATTGCACGTATACTCTCACTTTAAAACACATCATTATTTCCAGCTTTATACGAACAAACAAATGTAATATTAAATTGAATTCATTGTTTTGATTTTATTTTATTTATTTTAAGAAAAGATCCAGCTGGACAATAATGCTCACCATGTTAAAAATGAATCGTCCAGAATTATGTTTTATTATCTGGGGTTGTGTAGCGTGCCTTTGTAATGGAGGTATAAGTTCATTTATTTGACTTATCTTATACTGATTGATTCATAAAATTTGATTTTTGTTTATTAAGGCATTCAACCAGCCTTCGGTGTAATTTTGGCTAAAATAATCGCTGTAAGTATTTTCTTAAATACTGTTGTTTCTCAAACGTTATTTAATCTCAAATTTTTTATAATCAAAGGTCTTTCAAGAATGTGATTTAAAAGTACAAGAAAAAAATGTAACATTATACGTTATTATGTTCATTATATTCGCCTTTTTAATGTTAATTACAATGTTTTTACAAGTAATATAATATTCTTATTCTATGAATTATATAGTTGAATCTCTTTTATATTTTAGAGTTTCTTATTTGCTTGTTCTGGCGAAGCATTAACTCAACGTCTACGAGCAAAAACATTTCAATCAATGTTAAGACAAGAAGTAGCATGGTTTGATCTTACAGATAATAATACTGGTGCCCTATGTACGAGACTATCAACAGAAGCATCGGATGTACAAGGAGCCACTGGCATACGTATTGGAACGATATTACAAAATATTGCTAATTTGGGTGTTGGTATCATTTTAGCATTTATCTATGGATGGGCATTGACTTTAGTAGTGCTCGCATTTGTACCATTTATGATTATTGCCGGCTTTTTACAAACATATTTGCTTACTGGATTTGCTACAAAAAGTAAAAAAGTTCTAGAAGATGCAGGAAAAATTGCTGTTGAATCCATACAGAACATTAGAACAGTGGCCCAATTGACAAAAGAACAACGATTCGGTGATGATTATTGTCGTCTGTTGGACATACCCTTCAAGTAAGACTAATAAATTGTCATATATTACTGATGTTAATAAAAATTATATTACGTGAATATTTAGAAATTCAATTAAACGGGCACATATATTCGCAATTTTATTTAGTACAACTAATTCTATCATGTTTTTTGCTCAAGCAGCATTATTTTCATTCGGTACGTTGAAATATGTAGGTTCTGTTGATAATAAGTATATTACCCCCTTAATCAAAAGTTCAAATGAATTACACAAATTTCTAACAAATAGATTTAGTAGAAAGTAAGTATTTTGCAGAAGAACAGTGTGAAGAGGATAAAACTTTGAATTACATGTAGGTCAATGATTTTATTTTTCTAATTTTTATTTTTTCAATTTAAGGTGCATACATGGTAGAAAAAGGGAAAATGGAATTCGAAGATGTCATGCTGTAAGTTAAAAATATCGCGTATCCATATTTTTTGTATTTTTATTCTTTTCATTTTACATTTTAGAGTTTTAAATTGTATTTTATTTGGAGCAATGGTAAGTTATTTGTTTACTACTTGATCATTTGTTTCTTTGAATTGATGAAGCTAATATGCCATTTACTGTCGGAATTTTTGTTGATTCAAAAACTGGTTTTATATGTTTTAGGCTGTTGGTCAAACTGCATCGATGACTCCCGATTATGGCAAAGCTGTTGCTTCGGCAGAGAAAATACTTCAGATTTTTGAACGAACGCCTGAGATTGATAATTCGTCAACGACTGGTGAAAAAATTGTGAGTAATATTCAGAATTTTATTACATTCTTTTAAAACTTCTCAGTACATTGTTATTTCTAGGATAATTTTCGTGGTGAAATTCTATTTGATTCTGTAAGTTTTCATTATCCAAATCGACCTGAAGTGACAGTACTAGAACATTTGACTTTAAAAATTAAACCAGGTACACCATTTTATTTTGCATTATGCTTACCAAAAGTACTTTATTTGTGTGTGTTATAGGTCAACAAGTGGCATTAGTAGGTAAGCTATCTAATAATTTTATAATTATGAACTGAAAAATAATTATAAATTGAACTTAGGCTCTTCTGGTTGTGGTAAATCCACTTCCATTCAGCTTCTGGAAAGATTTTATGATCCATCTGAAGGTGGAGTGGTAAGCTTATTTTCAATTTCTATTAGACTTTGTCAAACTAATATACGAACCATCAGATCTGTTTCGTTTTAGCATATTGATTCAAAAGATATTCGTAACCTAAATTTACAATGGTATCGATCACAAATTGGAATTGTTTCGCAAGAGCCAGTGTTGTTCGATTTGTCTATAGCAGAAAATATAGCCTATGGTGATAATTCTAGAACAGTGAACATGGAAGAAATTATCGAAGCAGCTAAAAACGCTAATATTGATACGTTTATTAGTTCATTGCCCAAAGTATGAATAAATATTTAAATTTATTATTAAGATCAATGTATCGTTTTGGCTTATTTTTTCAGGGCTACAATACAAACATTGGCACAAAAGGAACACAATTATCAGGTGGTCAGAAACAACGCATTGCTATAGCACGAGCATTAATTCGAAATCCCGCAATATTATTGTTAGATGAGGCAACAAGTGCTTTAGATACAGAAAGCGAAAAAGTTGTACAAGACGCTTTGGATCGAGCACAACAAAATCGAACATCTTTAACGATTGCCCATAGACTTTCAACTATTCAGAATGCCGATTTAATTTGTGTTTTGAAACATGGAAAAATTGTTGAAAGTGGAACACATGATGAACTGGTTAATAAAAAAGGTTTATATTATAAACTCGCACAATCGAAACTGAAGTAATAAATTTATGAAACATTCACTGAATATATTTTTTGTATACTTTTGTGTTATTTATCCGCAAATATTTTTTTCATGTTTTTCTATTTTCGGTGACTACGTTTGCTTTCTCAGTGGCATGATAACCAGTTGCTTTTTATCGAAAAAGTAGTCGTGTTTATAGTGATCATTTTTTATTTAATATCATGTACAAAGAGACAAAAACTTCAACCAAACTGCATATTAGACAACGATGTAACTAGATTATTCATTTATTATACCGGCTAACTTTTATTTTATGTTCATTTTTAAGCTGAAAAAACAGTTAATGTTACTATTTTTTTGTTTCCTTCAGAATAGAGTAACGATCAACGTGTCCCGGTGTTTTCTTTTGTTCAGTTCGGTTTTTTGTAAGTACAAAGTATTATATTTTTTAGAAGAATAAAATTATTAAGTTGAATGAGAGAAGCATTTTGACAAATTCTACTAAAAAAAAAGTCAAATCATCATATTAATGTAAAGAACGAACCATTTCAATCGATAGGAAGAGTGAGACACTAAGTTTGAAAGTCAAAATGGTTTTTTCAAATTGCTTCTATTTTAAACTTTGTTAACTTAGAAAAATGTGCATAACCAAAACAAGATAGCACTCAGATCAATAGTTTTGAATAAATAACTTATGCAACATTTCGTATCTACGCAACAATTTCAACTTTCCTGATCCACTTGATACATGAGCCACAAATCTTTTATCTCCCTTAACGATTTCGTTTTAATATGTAACTTATTTTTGGTCCATAGTTTTACATGAAAAGAAAATACATAAAAAAGAAAAACGCAATAAACGATACAGAATGGTATTTCTATCGTTTATTCTAAGTACGTATTTATTTATCATAATCGGTTTGTTAATACGAACAAAAAGAGACAGAAAACATACAAAATGTTGAACAAAAGAAGAAGGGCACAAGGGAAGTTTGTTTTTTCAAATGAATAAGCATATACAACGAAAGTAGCGGCTGACAAACAAAAAATAACAAAAAAAACAGTCATTTGGTGTCTTACGCATTAGTGCATACAAACGTATTTTACATTCTATTACATCTTCTGCTCTTACGAAGGAAAGAAAATAGATGCGGATCTGACTAATCAAATTTTTGTTTTTAAACTTTTTTCTTTACATAAAAGTCATTGATAATATGGTTCTCATACAATTTCAGATAAATGGCAGATATACAGAGGAGATAATAAATCGGTTTTATTTACTTCTGAATAAATGTCGCATTAATAAAAAACTTTGTATTATACTAATTTTTTTTAAAACAAAAACGGCAAAAATCTGATTAGTCAGTCAGTCACACAACATACATGTGTACTTCTATTTTAAATCAGTCCCTGAGCTTCATGTGACAATCGTATTATGTTTTCTTACTCGAACAAAGCATTGCAACAACAACAAAAGAAGAGACGCTCGTAACAAGTCTTGACTAGGTGATAGTAGAAAAAAAAACGTCTAGTTAGTTTATAATGATGTTTTTCGTGCGTGTGTATGTAAATTTTTCAAAAGGGAAAAGGGCTACAGAAATAAAAATGAAAAGAAACCAAGCAAGTAGTTTACTTCTTAGTTAGCGAAGAAATTGTTTTTATGTTGATGTTTCACCGATTTTATTTTCGAATAACCAAGTCTATATTTATATATACTATTGTTGTTTTCTAATATGGTGAATAACCACTTGACGATCCTCCACGTCCTCTTCCTCGATAACCTTAAACGAAAAAAACATACACAATGCTTACAAAAAGGTAACCGTCCTCAGTTGACAACATTCTTCTCTTGCTCAAAAAACTATAATCAATAGAATTCTAATCTACTGTGTTGTATTACCAAGTTGAGAGTACAATTCGGATCGAGTGAAGTTAAAAATCTCAAGTGCTACTTTTATGAGACAAACGATAGTCAGCTTTATACATAAAGCTGTTACTTACCACCGCTCTCGCCTCCAAAACCTCCTCGTCCACCCCGAAAACCTGAAAACGCAGTAGTTTATAAGAAAGAGAAGAAACGTTGCAAAAATGAATACTTACCACCACCACCACCTCCGTCGCCACCGAATGATCCACCTCCACGGCTGTAGCCTCCACCACCACCACCACGACTGAATCCTCCGCCACCACGTCCTTCAACAAAACATAATATATCATATAGATTGCAAAGTATTTAATCAAGTATTACACGACACTGTTAACTATAATTAAATCGTTGATCGTGATCAACTTAAATTATATTACGAAAGAGATTAACAGTGCTATATAAAATTAATGTAAATAATGAAATGTATAAACTAACCTCCACCAAATCCGCTGCTACGTCCTAAAAGGAGTGGAAAAGATCAGTAAAAAGAATTACAAATTTCTAATTTATTGCTTACCTCTACCACCAAAACCGCCGCGATCTCCACCAAAATCTCGTCTAAAAAGGCAAAAATAGATTCAAATTTTTCGATATGCTTTCTTGGATATACCTTGGTCGTCTTTGTGCCAATTGAACTTTAACAACTACTCCTAACGATGAAATATGTTGATCTAGAAAAAGAACAATTTTTCGAGGTCATTATAAATAGACTTAGATAGGCCATTTCCCATACCGTTAAATTTTAGAATAGCTTCATCAGCGACACTTTCATCTTCATATGTCACTGTTGCACGACCATTTCCTTCACCGCTCATACGATCTTTATAAATCCATATTTTTGGACCACCACTTCGTTGATCAGACTGAAAAAGAGGTCAGATATTAGATCGGATCGGGCTATAAATAAAAACGATCTATTGGACATACCTTAATTTGTCCGACGCCGCTGAATGCATCATATAATTCGTCACGCGTAATATTTTTTGGTAAATTTTGAATGAAGATTGTATCTTTTTGAATCTCAACTTCATCGTCATCTCGTCGACCACCCCCGCCTAAGAAAAAAGACTACTTTCTTAAAATACGAATTTTGATCAAAAAAAGTCTACGATGAATGGGAAAAGAATGGCAGATTCGATCTCATAAATTTTAATAATCCATTTATATGTTTTTCTATAACTCATTCAAATAGCTCAAAAATAAAATGCCTAGTTTATGACTAACTGACGTATCGAGGCACAGTAGTCGTACCCCCCTCCCTCCCCCCACTTTTGTATCACAAAAACTAGAGAAAGAAAAAAAAATTGAGAACAACATGGATAAAACGAAAGCTTGTTTAAAAAAAATACACAAAAATGCATACATGATTTTTCGTTAACTCAATCAAACTACCAGAGGAACTGTATATTTCATATCGATTTTCCAATCCAAAAAACAAAAATTTCAAATAATCTTAAGTAAAACATTAGACTCTCTCTAGTTATTTTCCTTAAATCATATTGTATTGCATTTCATGATCATTCTATTCATTGAAGAATGCGTGTATTGTCATTTTTGTACTTCCATCTTTCATTTCAATATATCTGTACTGGAAAAAATCAGACAGTTGAATAATACATGTACAAAAAAACAGGCAAAATCAATAGTGATATTGTGTATTTTTTGATAAATGTACTATTTCAGTTCTATATTCATAATATATATATCAAATACTTTCTCTTACCATAATTATTTCGATAACTTCCACGATCAGAAAAAGTTCGTCCACTATAATGAGATATGTTTCATTTTTTCACAAAATATGTATGTATATAAAGATCAACATCGTATGTATATATAAATAAATCCAAATGTCTGTGATTTTTTTTATTCTATATATTTCAATTCATTGCATGTATGTGTAGTTCAACAAATTTCAATAGATGTAAAATATAATCATTAACATTAATATAGATTGAGAGAGACAGCAAGAAAAAACTTATTCATGCGTGCTTTAATCTTCTGAAATAATGCTTCTCCTTTGAAGTTCTAGTTATTATGTGAGTATCTAAGATCATATGAACACTTCTAATCTACTGCTGCAGCATGTTTTTTGCACAAAATAAAGAGTAAAAATAATAAGTTTTCATAATGCGCATATATAGACCGTCGAACAGAGTAAAGCATTCCATTTTCTTTTCGAATAGACCACTACTAAGAAATGATCTCATCTTTGCTGCGCTCTGACAATATCAAATAATTTAATCCGTACTTTTCCCCCCATATTTGAATTATATATCCTCTCACTCTCTTCAACCTAAACGCTATAAAATTCTTCAGAAAAATGTTTTCAATCAACTGAACTGTTCATCGTAAAGCATTGTTGGAAATAAAATTACCACAAAATGAATCACTAGAACTTAACCAGGAGTCTATCCCTCTGCTCCTTCAACTAAACAGAGAAATATTTCTCTGTTAGCTAGCGGAAAAAGAAACAAAATTAGTGAAAAACCCATAATACTGCGGGCAAAGAACACAAAAACACATTTTTCGATTTAGTTTGCTTGCACTTTTTGTTCATCTTATTCTTCCCAGTAAATATTTAGAAATAATCTGTTGACTGACAATCTATCGCAGTTTGTAGAAATTTGTCCGAGTGAACTAGGCTTTTACTATATCTATCAGACTACTTTTGATTGAACAACACACACACACGAGAGAGATAAACAATGCCCATAACTTACCCAGATCCTCCTCCTCCTCCTCCTGAACGATCATTGCCATATGAACGATATCCTCCACCTCCTGAAAGAAACCATTATCAAATTTTTCACTGTAAAATAAAAAAAATTTTTTTGATAATCATACCTCCTCCGTCTCTTGATGATCCACTATCACCATATTTATTCGATGAATACGAATCTGAATAATCTCCCCCGTAATCTGCCATTATTGATATTTTAATTTAACTGGTTTTATAATAAGACTTTTCACGTCTGAACGTCCGCACAATGTAAATATATTATAATACTATATTTATTGTATCTGCATTTTTATTTCCTTACATTTATACAAAGACTCCTCATTCTAGTAGAATAGATGAGTTGAATGAGCAAGAGTAAACAATGACAGAAAAAAATCCGAAGGAAAAACGATAAGTTTCTGATCAAGTTTTATTATTTTTAAGTGAGATTCCTCTCAAGTAGAAATTTAGGTGTTTGACTTAAATTTATAGCAGCAATAACTAAGTCCTTGTAGAGGCTGATTTCCAATGCTAACAGAAAGATGGCGCTCACGTACAGAAGAAAGATGGAGACTGTCTCTTTAGGTGGGAACCCACCGATGTTGCGTTCCTGATAATACTACAAACAACTCAAATTTCAATTCTTTATGGATTGCGGAATTATTAGCTATTATAAATTTCGAAGCACCAAGATGCAAGTCAGTATCCTGTATTTTCGACATAACACAACGTTTCTAAAAAGAGTTGCCAATGGTCCGCATTTTGCGAATTTTTGAGTTTTTTCCGCAATTTATCCGCTGTCTGCGATTTGTTCGCATTTTAAGCATTTTCTGCTTTTGCTGTTTTTCCCTTGAGTTAAAAATTCGTTTAAACTCATCGTTCATGCACTGAAATTTATAATTATTTCTTGTCAACGCCAGAACTGTTTTAACTTATTCATTCTAATCAAAAATACACAGTCAAAAAACAACGTGTCAATTAAAATCGAGATTTACATTTTCTGTTTGTTGTTCACTTGTGTTTTATTGAGTAAAATCACAAAAATAAAGGGGAAGCGCACTTTTCACTGTATTAGTTCATTTTTCACCAAATGCAAAGAGTGTCAAAAAAACGTTTTCTAGCGCTTCATAGTGGTTCCATTTAAGAAACATTAAATAAGTACAAAACATCATTTAACTCCCAATTTTAACTGATATTGACGTTTTTGATTGGCCGTCATAAATATTAAGAGTTATGCATGGAAGTATAAAATTTAATTCGAAACCGAGTTGGCTTCCTTGAATATTTACTATTTCACTATTTTCCACACTCCCTTCAGCAGCACTTGAGACAAGCTAATGTTTTTCTGTTAGCGCTCACTTCAGGGGCAAATTTCTGATTTAGATCTCAAAACAGTGCGCATTTGTCTTATAAAAGTTGCAGAAGTATTGTTTTGACAGATTATTCACCCGTCGAAGGCGGCAAATTTTTTATGAGAAAATGTAAAAATGTTCATTGCAGAAAAAAGGACAAAAACAAAAAATTCTCGAAAAGCGGACAATGGACACTTTGCGGGAAAAACTACAGAAAGCGGAATTTGTCCGCAAAATGCGGACCATCTGGCAACCCTGGTTAGACCATGAAAATGCGTTACTACTATCTTTTTATCATTAGCCATCTTTAAACAAAACATGACTTCTATGTGAAAATCTCGTTTCTGCAACAGTTCTGCACAGATTTTGTAATTTGCAAATTCAACGCAAACGCGATTTTGCAAATCACATTTAATTACAATTACAATCTAAGAATCGCAAAAATTGTAATCTGCACAGAATATGACTGCAGAATGTAGACAAGATTTCTACCAGGAGTCGAACAGAATTTGTGCAAAAATCGACACACATTGTTGCGGAATATCGACAAATTCTTCATATCACCGACAAAAAATTGAAGTTCATTTAGAGTTAAAGAAAAGTGCTTTTTCGTATTCAGCACACTTGATAACCTGGAGTGATCTGTGATCTGTGCACACTCTGTAATCTGCGACACATTTATGTAGATTCTGCACAGACTCAAAAGAATTTTCTGCTACAAATCTTGTCTATAGACAAGATTTGTAGCAGAAAATTCTTTTGAGTCAGATTTACTACAGAATGTATACATTCTGTAGTAAATCTGCAAGTCTGTGTTGCAGATCGAACTTTGATGCAGATCTTTTTTCCTTACAAAAAGTTCCTCTAAATAGTTAATGTACAGATTTTCCTTGCCGTGATTATGTATGTTTTCAATAATTTGTATTGATATGAATATGTCATCCGAAGTCAACTTTCACGCTGAATTCATGGCATGATCCCGCTGTTGCGTCCATGATCGCTGTGGCTTCGCGTCTGATCACCCTAGAAGCTTATTTTTTTCAAAAATATTAGTCATGACTCACGATAAGAGCTTTTGGCGACACCATCCTAGGGGAATCTTAGAACTCCCGAAGTGAGTCGCTATGCATGATTCTGATGCAACAAAACTCCTGTAGACACGAAACGAGTGAAAAATTGTAATCGGCATGTGAGTCACGGCCAGGGTTGCCAGTCAGTCCCACATTGAAAGGTTTATCCCCCGCAAAAATCTGTCCCCAGGATGTCCCCATTTTCAAGGATATTTTCTTTTGACAGTAGTCAGTGGACTTTTCACTTTTGTATTACGCTTCCAGCTCAACAGACCTTGAACGTTTAGTAATTTTTCTTATGTGAGATTTCCAATGGGGAAACAGCTGATTTTTCGATTTTCACCAACTTTCAATGATTTTTACAGATTTTTGGCGATTTAAATAGAAAAATCAGCTGTTTCCCCCTTCGAGATTTCACATAAGAAAAAGTACTGAACGCAGAATTGAGAATCAGAATGAATACAAACACGTATACTAATTTTCAGTCTTTGATTTTAAATAACAACGAACTTCTCAAGAGTATTCGTGGCTGTGAAAAATATGTACATAGAAGTAAAAAATTTTGTTTTTAAATTGATCATTTATTGTTTTTAGCGTAACAAAAGATATTTGCCTTAAATTTTGTTTTGACATAGTAATATTAGAAAAATCAGAATAAAAGAATATACCCACGTGTATGCATGAGCGGCAACGGTAAAGGATTTTTTTACCGAAGTTTACCGCGGTAAAATTTTTAAGTTTTTACCGTAAGCCGGTAACGGTAATAAAATTGTTTTTACGGATTTTTTTTGAAAAACTGATTTTACCGAATTTGTACAACTACTGTTTTGAATTTTTGACTTTTTCGGTAAATTACTATCGGTAACAGTACAAAAGTTGTTTACCGAAGTTTACCGCGGTAAAATTTTGAGATTTTTTACCGATTTTAAATTACCGCGGTAAAAATTTGAAGTTGTTACCGAAGCGTCGGTAACGGTAATAATACACACATGTCTACTCACGTGCCTTTATCAATGACATCGCACGGCAAATAATGTGTTTTGTGTTGTTTGCCTTTGTCGAAGAAACAGTCCCCCTTTTTCCAAAATTTGTTTCCCTTTACTGTTTTTTCAGTTGGCATCCCGAGTCGTGTTCCCGAGTGAAGAAACGCGCCTTTCTCAAAAGTTATCAAATCAAGAATTTTTGAAATAAAATAAAAGTTATTTTCGGAACTGCCATCATGACCATCGTGGGTCGTACCACGAATTAGCTCTTCTGCTCTGGAATCATGACTTTTTGGCTTGAGTGTCAGCGTGAACGTTGACATGGGACCATAGAATAGTCTTCGTAATATTTTCCAGAGAGTTTTATTAACGGTAATTGTTTTTGTTAGACAAGTTTTTAATTACAATTATGATATAATGATAATCAAGTTACGATCTTAAATATTAGGCTAAATTTCATGGAGTATGAAATGTGCCAGTAAAACAAACCTAGTGTGTCAATCGTATATGTTGAGTAATAATAAGTTCACCATGTTTCCTATGCGTTGTATTTAGTTATATCATGCGTAATAGGAGCATCGTGAATCGAAACACAATTGTTAGATAGACAAAATATTGATACTTACATAATTTGATATTCGTGCACAAGCAAATTTTTTGTCAGGTCATTTTACACTTTGACTTATTCATATTACAATACCTTATAATAACTAATCACATAGATGAATAGCAACAAAACTTGGTGCTATCCAGATCCAACATTATATAATATAAAAGCTTTTAGTTTTTTATTATAAAACTATTCATTAAATACGACACTTTGCAGACAATAGAAAAAAATTTACAAAAAAAAGGTAAAGAAAAAGTATGCACAAAACAGTAGTTTATACGAGAGAAAATGGGGGGGGGGGAGGCGGTTTTTTGTATAGTTCCACAATAAGTTCCTATATTTCATCAGACAAACAAAAATTGAGCGAAAGACACTAGAAAATATGCTTTCCAATAATAAAATACATTTGAATTTAAATTAAGATGTTTCTTCTAGAAAAATTTCAAAAAAGACAAATTATGTTAATTACTACACAACTATTGTTGATCTCTAAACAGGATATATTAATAAACCATGCGAAAGGATGCCTGTACTTGCGTGGTGAACAAACTATGCCCAAAATACACATACTTTCACGTATCACCGGATACAAGAAAATTAGGACGGATGTTCTTCTCACTTTCACTGTCTACTAAAAAAATCTTAAAACAAGAGATAAAGATGGAAACAGTTTTATCTACAGTAGAAAAAATGTGAATGAACACACAATAAAGTCTCACGATGATGTCAAAAACATCGAGATCATCTCAACAAACACATCCTCCACTGTTCAGACTTTGTACAAAAAAGACTGACGAGAAAAAAAACACAATCAAAACAAATAAAACAACAAAAAACATTAATATTATTTATGGTTTTTGAAAGACAAGTAAAGAAATATATGAACAATTCACCGGGTCAATAAATATATAGATGTGAACTTCTCAATTAGAAAGTGAGAGTAAGAACAAAACAATTTATAACATACTCAAGTGGTGTTGTCTCATTTTTGATAATGGATGAGACCGACCCTGGACAACATTGATATCACTTTTACTTCCAGAAGTGGCTGATAGAGAATAATCGATAGGTTGGTTACGATACACGTAGTCAAATACTTTTTTATTACGATTATTTTTATTCACTGAAATCGTTGACGATGTTACCGTTGTTTGAACATAGCCGTTACAAGAAAGAGGTCGTTTTAAAATCTTAGGATTTGATTTTGAAGTGGCGAGTGATAATTCGATTATTGATGTTTTATCACTATTAAAACGCGTGACAGGCAATATAAATGATTGCTGAGATTGTGGCTTATTTACATGATATTCATTTTCAGCTAAAACAGTACACGACAAGTAATTATCGAACTATTAACAGGTTTTTCTATCTAATGGAATGAACGAAGTTCGTGAATAGCGAAAAGTTCATCAGCTAAACGCAATGCAGTATCAGTTTATAATCACTACTTACATGAAATTATCGTTGAATTTTCTAAACGTTTGTTTAATTCGGCGTTCATGTATAGATTCCTGTCATGATCACTTCTTAGTTTGTATGATGAACAATCCTCATTGTTACCAACATTCTCTTGATGTTTCTCATTTGTTTGAGTAACTGGGAAATCGAGTGAACCATAACCAGAGGACGGTGATTTTTCATTGTATTTTTCATCTTTGATGATACTCGTTAAGTTGGTAACTGTTGTTGTTACTTCGCATATATTTGATGTATTTTCATTAACATTATTTGAATTATCATAGTTCAACTTCAATTCATCGCAATCAGTTAATAGTAAACATAATGCAGTTGTTGGTGTTGTTGGACCAGCATTAAACATTTTCACTTGTGAACGTACAAGTCCATCTTTAATTTCAATACCTTCTCGTTTGAAAATATCTGTATTTGAACCAGTAACGACAGTAGCTCCAGTATTATTGCTCGACAATGTGAATAGAGACGGTTTTCGTTCAAAATCTAAATAAAAAATAGTCGGTTGATGTTTAACGAGCTTAAGCTAGCCTTTCTTTGCAACAACCATGCTTGCAAAAATAAAAATTCAGTTCAACGAAAAGTGGATTTAGATTGTAAAGTGGATTGTGGATTTGGTTTTGCAGTTTACTGTAAAGCTACGTTCATGTGTTCGAATCTCTATTCGTACGAATAGAGATTCGATCTTCTGTTCGTACAAAAAAATTGATTTTGTGTTTTTCGATAGTTTTAGTTTAGAATACTATAACGGAATATTTTTTCACTTGTATTCTGACAGAATAAAGCTTATATGAACGGAAACACTATCATTAAAGATTTTCAATCATGTTACTTTTCTCTAAACTGAAGGAAGTAACCATTGAATTTTATTATCAAACACATGAGAAATTTCAAATATGAAACTATGTGAAAGTAACTACGTTCTATGTAAAATATGATTATACCTTGTGTAATCGAATGTACTTTTCGTGACCTCCTTAACGATTTTTGATTCTCCAAATCAACTGAATGTCGTTGTAAACTGTTATTGGTATTATTTTCAATTTCGCCATCATCACGAGGTGGTAGGAAACGTTTTTCATCTTTTAAACTTGAACATCGGCTAACACCACTGACATTTAAACGTGTATTTAATTTTTTCTTTGGTGTTCGCATCGAACTTGTTCTCATTAACCAATAATTCTCATAATGATCATCATTACTACTGTTAATTTTGTTTAAAGTTACTGTTTCGTTTACGCCACATACTTCACGTTGTTCAACGTTCACCTATGAAAAAATAAAATTTAAATGATAAATGCATCAATTAAATGTGAAAACAAGCATACCAGATTGTAATGCTGTGATAGTTCCAACTTTTGTTGACGATCGAATGATGTAACAGACACTGAAGTCCTCGATGAGGAGTCATCGGAACTTACGCGCTTCTTATCGATATTACCATCACTTAAAAAAATTGTTTTTCTTTTGTTCGATGAACAAGCTGAGCAAGATGATGAAATAGACGATGATAATACTGTTGATAAACAAGGTGAAATTTGCTGTTCTTTATGTTCAACAGATTTTGTATAATGAAATTCAAAGATGTTATTTTCATTATCGTCATCTTGTAATCGAATTTCATTCTCAACACGCGTTCGTATCCAAAAAGTATCATCTTTAAGTGTACGAATTAAAGGTTTAACTGTTCGCTTGTCATTATCTATATGTTGTTGGTGATCATCTTCTTGTTCTAATTCATTGGTATTGGTATCAATAATATGTAATGGTGGTAATGAAATATTAGAGTCGATGTCAGTTGAATTATAATGATCGTATGATTGTAATAAACGCTCAATCAAATATAACGAGCCAAGTTCATCGGTATAATCTGATCCTAAAAGAAAATTACAGATGCACTTCAGAATATAAGTTTTTTTTTATCGTAACTGAAGATAAATAATAGCAGAAAAATGACTTCAATATATAAGAAATCCTATCTTATCAAAATCACCGCAATTATAAGATTTTCACATATTTTCTTGTTAGATTACTCTACTCCTGAATATACATTTGGCAAGAATGTGAAATAGTCTGTTTAGAATAAAAGCATAAATCAAATAAACAAAAAATTATCAAATATATACCAATTTTTTCTTGGGATAGAAGAGTAACCGTGTTTGTAGGTGATGGTTCACGAATAATCGATGTAGTGATGAGGGTACCTGAAGTATTAATTGCATTAATCTCATTGTTTGGCACGGTTGATAGTGGCTTTTTTATTATGACATCACCAAGTTTACTTCGAAATGTTTTACTAAAAATGACATTAATAAAAATTAATTGATTCGATAAACGTAAGAAGTTAAATTTTTACTTTGCTGCTAATATTCCTTCGTACACTTGTAACTGACTACGAAAACCTCCATTTGGATTAATACAACTTCGACGTTTTTTAACATGATCAAGTGCATCATTCAATGTATGACTGTTTTCTTTCATTAAATAAGCGAGTACCTAAAATATTCAACGACAATAAGACAATTTGATCGTATAAAACAATCTTAAATATGCTTACAGTTGAAGCTGAACGACTGATACCCATTTTACAATGGACAAGACATGCTTGATTATTTGCTCTAGATAAATAAAAATTTAGATTAAAAATGTTTAATACAACAAATCTAATATTTATTTACTTTGCTTCGTTAATAAATCGATATGTTTTTTCCCATTCTTTTAATAGATCAGCTTCATCGTTATCATGTACACGTACATTAAGATATTTAAATTGTCCTGGGAAAAAGTTATCGATTTCACGCGATACATTCAGAATATAGCCAACACTAGATGAAAAATGAAATTAATGTTTTTTATTCATTTATGAAATATATTTTGATTTAATTTAACTTCTTTATGTCAAGAATACTAGCGAACATATAATTATTGTATTTTAAATCTTAAACTATCGAAAAACTATGAAATACATCTTACTTATTTGCTTTTAATTCTTCATAATTCGATGCATTCCACTCTGATCCAAGATACAAATGTGATAATATCATTGTTGGTTTATCCATTTGTGCCAGTATTTGGAGCATAACATCATCAATGTATTGTTTGTGTGAGGATAAATTCATTTGAAAAACATTTTCTAACTGTTCACGTAACTAAATATAATAAATAAAAATCATTTGTTTGATTGAAGATCAATAAAAGAAAAGTCAGTCACACTTCGATGATATCATCAAACTTACAAATTTCGATGTAACCTCATCAAGATCAACCATTAACATGATTTCTTTCAATTTAACGTGTATATGTTGACGCAATATTTCTTCATCTGACGAAAGCCTAAAAAAGAAAAAAGTTATTGTTTATATTCAATTCAGAAAAATTAAAATACAATACGTTTGATATAGATGTGGTGAATCTGATCGATGAGATAATATTTCATCCATTTGAAACCATTCATTGATACACATTTGATTCGATTGTAAATCCAAACTTCGGTAAAATTCAATCCATGTATGAGTTAAACCACCGGCCATATAATTAAATAAACGTGCTTGAGTTGATGCTTTATGTAAACTTTGATAAGCCGACCTAGCGAAATTGAAAATTTTATGTTTAATTCATGAATGGACACTACAATACCGATCCGTCCACTTTAAAACTAATCGAGAACCGCTGCGATCTGACAAAATCTATCGTGAAGTACTGGCAAAAGCATGTGAAAGTTCTCACGTGTCCGTTATACAAGTCATACGAAAAATGGATAATCCTAGATCACAAGTTGTGATTTTTTTGTATTCTCGTACTCCTTGCTGGAAAGAGCATGCAGACTTGTATAATCCATCGACAGATGAGATTTTGGACTAGATGAAGAGAAAAAAAGCCCGTTAGATCTGTTTCCTGATGATCATTCGAACAAGTTTGGAAGCTGCTTTTATCGGAACATTGATGAAGGCATATTTGATTAGATTTTGAATTTATTATAAACTTTCTGAAATTTGACATTTTTGTGAGGAGATAAGCGCTTCGCGATACACATTGTCAGATTGTGACAGCTCTCGGTCGTATATTATTGTTTCATCTTATTAGTTCTAAACCTATCATTGATGCTTTCAAAAACAAGAAATATTTAGTGTTAAAAACTACCGAGCAGGTATAATATTTTATATTTAAGTCTAAGCTTGGATCTAGTGTGCCTTAGTACAGGTATTACAAGATGGTATCTTTGACTTAAATCTTTTTTCATTTTCTTTTATTGCTTGAAAAGATCTTCACTTGCATATTTTTTTGGAATATATGATATAATATGGATCTAATCCACTCATACGGTTATCTATAAAGGGTGGCCCAGAAATAATGACACACTTTTGTTTTCTTATTTCTGCGCACTTAACTGAGATTCTAAGACTCCATTCTAGGCGCATTCGATAGAGAATTTTCTGTTCTACAAAATCCATTATCTTCTTTCATTATTTTATTATCTAAAAAGATAGTATAGAGAAAGGACACGTAAAAAGCATAATTGCGATTTACTATCAAAATTTTTATGGTTTTTCGGCTTTTATGTAATTTTTCGAGAAATAATATGGTAACTGAGAAAAGAGAGTACTATAAAAATGTTCAGAGGATGAAGGACTATCATCCAGACTACGCTGCCTTTCCATTTGGTCACTGAAATTGTAAGTATTTTAGTGCACAAGTTAATTAGCAGTTTCTGGCAACGTGAGATTTTGAAAAATGCAGGGAAAGGCTAGATGACGCTGTATAAGTGTACGATACAGGAGGTTTTGTAGAGCAGAAAATCTTTTATCTTCTGATGTCAGAACGAATTCTTGGAATCATAAGATATACAGACAAAAATAGGTACATCAATAATCCCATAATCTTAGGACCATATGTTGTTAGTGGCTGAATGTTAGAAAAAATATTGTTTTTCAATGTAAATGACGATTGCTTTACTCATAGCACCTGTGATAAATAGCTAACAGAAACATTAATAAATAATCAATTACGTCGAATAGAAAAAAAAATACAAGCTATTCCTTTCGTCGCAGTTATACTTTTTACGTGTCCTTTCTCTATACTATCTTTTTGGATAATAAAAGAATGAAAGAAGATAATGGATTTTGTAAAACAGAAAATTCTCTATCGCATGAGCCTAAAATGAAATCTTAGAACCTCAGTTAAGCGCACAGAAATAAGAGAACAAAAGTGTGTTATTATTTCTGGGCCGCCCGTTATTAATATTTGTTTTTTTCTTCTATTTTATATCAAACCATAGCAACAATAACAAGGTTAAATTGAATAAAACATACCACATGGCTTGTACTGATACGGGCTTAAATATGTGACGCCGATCATTGGATGTTAATTTGAAACCGCTATCAAACAAACGAAAAAAGTTATAATTCTTGTTTTAGACTAACTACCAGTTACCTACCCATCACCATCCAGAGTAATATTCATATCAGCAAATATTGGTAAAATCATTCCGATTGTTACTTCATTTGATGAAAAATCAAATCCTAATATGGCGGATCTAAGAAGTGAACATAATGAATAAACGAGTTTTGTGTTATCTTCGAATAACCTACTCTTCTGAATCTTGACGACCAATACATGATACAATTACTAAATAACGAATACGGTTTGGAAAACCACTTTCGAGTTTTACTGCCTAAAGTTATTTATCATTTTAAAACAAAAGAGACTAATGAGTATGAGCGGAAAACGAACCAATATTATTCGATCTTCCGGTCTTAAAATACTGAACATTTGCTGCAAATGTTGTTGTAAATGCGCTAAAACGATAAAAATGATATATAATCCAATCTGTATTTCTGTTCTTCAATACTTTTTACCAGCACTTCCAGTAACTGCCTTAGTCACAAGACATTCATTTTTTGGCAAGACTAATGCAGCACCATTTATAGCAAAATAATGTTCACTAAAGCTAAAAAGAAACAATAAAAATGATATGTTTTGGCAAATATAAGTGAGTTTCTATTTTAATAATTTTAAAAACAAAAATTTTAGTTATTTGAAACAAAATTTATAAGAAAGAGTGCTATGAGATGCAAGGATTAGTCCGAATTATGAGCCAAATTTTTTATTCTTCTTTTAAATCTAATAAATACCTTGGAAAAGATTCCAAGTCAATATCATTTTCGATTAACCCTTTGAGTCCCATAGTATATAAAAAGCTACACTTGTTTTATAATTATTTTTCACAACTTAATTTATAAAAATTAGTACGTAATCTCTTGGAATGAAGCAATGGAGCATTAGCTAATAAATAGCAAATGCACTTATGTGG